GGTTTCAAGCGATTCTTCTGCCTCAGAATCCGCAGTAGCTGGGACTACAGGTACCTGCCACCACACCCAGGTAATTTTTGTATTTTCAGTAGAGACGGGGCTTCACCACTTTGGCGAGGCTGGTCTCAAACTCCTGATCCTAGGTGATCCACCTGCCTTGGCCTCCCAAACTGCTGCAATTACAGGCGTCAACCACCTAAACTTTTAGAAAAGGTTGAAAGTATGCTGGGCACATCTTTTCACAGCAATACTTACAATGGATCTTACTCTTTTTAATGACTGCATAGAATTTTGTCGTGTAGCTGTTCTTTGGGAGATGATTGAAATGTGCTTTAACCACCGGGCGCTGTGGCTCACGCCTGTAACCCCAACACTTTGGGAGGCAAAGGTGGGGAGGATCGTGAAGCAGGAAGATCACTAGGAGTTCGAGACCAGCTGGCCAATATGGTGAAACCTGTCTCTACTAAAAAGAGAAAAATTAGCCTAGCGTGGTGGCGGGCGCCCGTAGTCCCATCTCCTCTGGGGGCCAAGGCAGGAGAATAGCTTTAACCTGGGAGGCAGAGGTTGCAGTGAGCCGAGACCGCCCCATTGCACTCCAGCCCGGGTGGCAGACTGAAAGTCCGTCTCAAAAATAAAAATAAAATATTATCCTCCTTGAGATTTGTACTTTATGTAAAACAAAGCAAAACAAGCTGTGTTCTTGGGCCCGGGAGACACACCCTGACACATCTGGAGGAAGAGGGTCATGCTGTCTGCCACTCACCCTCGCAGGCTCTGAAATTACAATCATAGCCGTGTATTTACAGACTCAGAGAGAGAGAAATCTACAGTAAAAATGTTCAGAAGTAAAACTAGACAAATGGCAAAATTAAGAGAAATAAAACTACGTATTTTAAATTTTAATCTCTCCTTTACTTCTCTCCCCTTTTCTTCCTATCTCTTCCCTCCTTTCTTCAACACACCCCTCCATCCTTCACTTCTTTTTTCACTCTCTGCCCTTGAACTCGGTGTATTCCAGCCTCGAAGCCAACACTCGTCAGCGCGTCCGCCTGGGCAGGTCAGGGAAGGGACGCGAGGCGGCGCTGTCTCCGCATTCTGTGAGCCGAGCGCCCTGGGCCCCGCGGGTCTTGTATCATTTCAGTAAAGGTCACTGCAGTCTTTGATGGAGGGTGTAAATTCGGATCCTCACTGAAGTGGCGAGACCCTGAGGGGCTTTTTCCTGGCCCCTTTGTTGTGGGTTTTCCTGCGAGCGGGGGAGCCCGTTTCCATCAGAACAGCCCAGAGGCGGGCGCTGCCTTCCTGGGGTGACAGAGCAGCAGGAAGCGTTTTCGGATTGTAGAATCCGTGGGCGGCCGGTGGAAACGTCTGAGTCGCATTTCCCTACTGACCCGGATCCGAATCCACCGCGCTGCTGCTTCAAGCGAGTGAGATTCCAGATCGGCTCCACCCCGGACTCGGAATTCCTGCTTCGGAGTCTGCATTTTACAGCGACTGGTGTGAGTGCCCCAAAGCTAGAGACCAGAAGCCTAACAGCTCGGCCCTCCCCAGCAGAGAGCTCCGTTATTTCGTTTCTTTCTTTCTTTGCTTTTTTTTTTTTTTTTTTTTTTTCTTTTTCTTTGTTGTTTTTTGACAGAGTCTTGCTCTGTAGCCCACAATGGAATGCAGTGGCACGATCTCGTCCCACTGCAACCTCCGCCTCCCAGATTCAAGTGATTCTCCTGCCTCAGCCTCCCGCCTAGCTGGCACTACAGGCACCCGCCACAACTGCCGGCTAATTTGCGTCTTTTTAGTAAAGATGAGGGTTCACCATGTTGGCCAGGGTGGTCTCGAACCCCTGACTTCATGATCCGCCCGCCTCGACCTCCCAAAGAATTGAAATTACAGGTGTGAGCCGCCACGCCGGGCCTATTCCCTTTCCATGTTAGTAAACATTTGTCATTCTCCGTAGACTGGGGCGGGGCGAAAGGTGATCGCGGTTCTAGCAGTGAACTCTGGGCCGAAATATTCGAAACGCCTGCGGGCGCCAGGCGCAGCCCCGCCCTGGGTTTTGTGAACCACCACCCTGGGCCGTTTCTCTTTCTTTTCCGGACCTGTCTCTTTAACGGTTTCTCTTTCTCCGTTTCTCTTTCTTCAGCCGCCGTGGCGCCTAAAGTCGGCGAGGAGGAAGTCGCCTCCGTGCTCGTGAGTCCAGGGATCTAAGCCGGGTGCTAAGAGAGAAAACGTAGTTGATGGGGGCAGAGCAGAAGAGTCTGGAGGTGGGGTGGAGGGGACTAGAGGTGGACAGAAGACCTGGGAGGTGTGGTGGGGGAGGAGATGCCAGGCCTGGCCGCTGAGAAACTTACCTGGAACTCAAGACCATCTCGGCCTCCCCTGGCCCTGGAGAGGACTGGCTTTATGTTTCCCCGCAACCACTTCTGAATGCCTTGGAACAAACCTTGCATATTTATTTTTGTTATTGACTGTGAAAAGTCTTTTGGGGGGTGAGCGGAATGAGACCCTATGCTGGAGCTGGCACACGGAGGAAGTCCTGGAGGGAGGGTAGACACCGAGGAGGGAAGGGCTTGGGGCCTGCAGCAGGAGAACTGGGTCCATCTCCCTCTCTGCCTCTCACTAGGCTTATGATCTTTAGCAGTGAAAATAGTCTTCCTAAGTTGGAGACAGGACCCCAGTCCCAGCTTTACACGATAAATTATGAGGATCAAAATAAATTACTAGTGAATGTGGATGGGAAAACTGAGAAACTGTTAAAATTCTTAAATACATTACATTTTCATCCACAGAAAAGTGTAGGCTAGGGATCATAGGGTAATAGTAATGACAGGTATAGTTCAACTTAAAAAGATACTTGTGAGGCTGACAAAGAGGAAATGGACACAGTTCCTGATCCTGGAGGGTTCATAGTCTAATAGGGGAGGGTAGAAGATGGCAGATGACAGCTGGGTGTGCTGGCACTCACCTGTGGTCCCAGCTACTCGGAAGGCTGTGGTGGGAGGATTGCTTGAGCCCAGGCATTGGAAGCTGCAGTGAGCTATAGTCATGCCACTGCAATCCACCTGGGTGACAGAGCAAGGCTCTTGTCTTAAAAAGAAAAAAGAAAAGAAAAAAAGATTCCACACAGGGCACCATCTGTACCATGAGGAAGGTTGAAACCAGGGCGTAGATTAGGAGTTCCAAAGCTTGACTACACATTGGAATCAACTAGCGAACTTTAAAAGATACTAAAGTTTAGGTCCAACCAAGGTTTAGATCCAACCTAGGTTTACTGATTTAACTGGTTTGAACTGTGGCCTGGAAACATGGATATTAAAAACTCTCCATGTGGTTCTATACAGTGGCTTTTTTGAAGACCACTGGCTAAATGTCCGAAAGACTAAGAGATGTGCGCTGGGGACAAGGCAATTCTCTTAGTGGAAAGAGGCTTTTCGGACAGCATTATTATTATTGAGAATTGAGAATTCATATGCCACATAATTTATCCTTTTACAATGTACAGCTCAGTGGCTTTTAGCATAATCACAAGGTTGTGCCACCACAACAACCGTCTGCTTGAAAAACTTTTCTTCCTTTTTTTTTAAGGCTAATCAAGTGAAATAGTGGGAGTGAGTAAGAAACAAAGACATCCATAACTGGTTGTGATCAATTCGTTGTAAACACCACTACAGTCAGACCAGCCTCACTGGGAAGATTTTGAGGATACAGTGTGCTCTGATGGGTTCTAAGGCAGAGGTGACAGTGACCTGGAAGAGGGACGCGGCTTAGGCAGTGGCATCCTGGGGGGATAGGGTGAGGAGATCCCAGAGCCCACTTTTACTGCAACCCTGGGGAGATGTCCCCAGAGAAATGGGGGCGGTGCCATACAGCAGGTTTTGGCAGCTGTGGTTTCCATGGTAGAGTGGAAGCATCCTGTGTGACATTCAGCGGATGTGGCGCTGTGCTGGCTTGGAGCACTCTGGTTACAACTGGGGCAGGCACAGTGTTTAGGAAGCCGGTGCAGTAATCTAGGCTGAAGGGAGGGAAAAGCCTAGACTAAGGTAGTTGCTGTGGGATTGAAATAGGGTTGGAGGAGCTGACTTTGACTCCTGGAGATGAAGGGGAAAGAGGAAATCAGAAGGGACCAAGGATGGTGATGCTCTTAAGAGAAACGGAGTGATGTGGTGGGAGACTTGTAGAGAGTTCTTGTGGTTCTGTCACATTGGAGGGCACTATGGTCCTGGAGGTACAGATGTCCTAAGACAGGCTGGAAAAGGGAGTCTGGAGAGAGCTTGGTGTTGTAGTGAACCATGGGGAGTCGCATCCTTGGCCTGTGATCAGCCAGGGACTGAATAGAGAGGCGGCCCCGCGAGACCTCAGACACCTAGGGGATATTAGGGGGCGAAAGGGGACCTGGGTTCGAGTCGAAGGGAGGAGAAGGTGATTCTAAAGCTGAAACGTCTAAGAGTTTGTCGTCTGAGCGGCTCTCCTGGGGCAGGTGCTTCTGAGAGGCAGAGGTGGCTGAGATCTGGAAACAAGTCTGCAAATCTGCTCACTGCTCTCATTGCCGGTAACGCTGTGCGCGGCTCAAGAAGTGTGTTGGAAGAATAACTAGGCGTGGTCTCTCCTGGAAGGAACAAGCCAGTGAGAGCCGGCCTGATGGGGCGACAGGCGAAAGGGGCTTGGTGAGGCTCGCACTCCTTAGGGTGGGGGTGCGGGGATGGGTGATGGCGATGCAGGGAGGGCGGCAGGGCCCTGGCCGTGCTCATCAGATTGGAGCTGTACCCTCAGCTACTCGTAGCTGGTCCCCGCTTTTAGCTGCGCTCCCGCGCGCTCTCACTTTTCAGGACCCCAGGTCTCGCAGGCTCAGCAGGTCTCAAGCCCCGGGAAATTTTTCTTATGAACGCGGCCCCGCCCTTCCCTCTCGTGAGTGGCCCTAAGTTCCGGGCCTCAGTTTTATTGGATAAGAGGTCGCTGGGGGGCGGGGCAGGTGGCTAAATTTCCGCGGGACCTCTCCCGCCCCGGGTTTTGCCGGCCATGGCTTGAGCCTCTGAGAGGGTGGCGACGTCTGGCCATGGGGCTGGGTCGGGTCCTGCTGTTTCTGGCCATCGCCTTCCCTTTGACACTCCTGGGAGCCGCCGCTGGTGAGTGGGGTTCCTGGCGGGCCTGGGCGGAGCGGGAGTGGCGGGACGTTTCCTGGGGTCCCGGTGGGTCGCAGTGAGCGCTGTGCGGTCTGGGCGGGGCTCAGGTGCGGGGTCGGGGGTGCGGGGAGCTGGACGCGGCCCATGGCCGCCACACCTCAGCCCTGCTTTCCTGTCTCTTTTCTGTTCTCCTCAGGACCGCGCATCACCCGCCCCTGCATTTTTCTGTCCTGCACTTGCTCTCCTCGCCTCGCCTCCACCTCCTCTCACTTTTCGGACAAACCAGCCCTTCTGAGACCCCTGGGGTCCCGGGCGGCGCCCCCCACTAGCGGGCCGCTCCTGTGAATGGCATTTTAGAGCCCTCCCTGCTCGGCCCCTAAGGCAGCCGCTGGGGGCGGCTCCCAGGTCCCTGAAGGCCTGTCCTTTCCTGGGAGCTGGTGGTTCTCAGCTGGTGAGGGGGTTCCTCTCCTCTATCGCAGCCCACCCCTACTAATGACCAATGATCTAAGGACAACAGATTCCCTGCCCCTCCTCCCTGCCCATCTCGGGGTCCCCTGGGTCCTGTTGCCCTCCCAGCTCTCTGCTACCCCTTCCTGTCTGCAGTTCTCTGATCCATTTCTAGAATGTCCTCTGCCCTCATCCCCTGCCCCCGCCACAGCAGGTCCCTTTATTGGCCTTTCCTACAAGCAGCCTTCACCCAGTGCTGCCCTTATGCCTCCCACTCCCATCTGTCCCTGACCCTAAGTTTCCGGTGCTGCCTTTTGTCCAGGGGTCTTTCCTCCATCCCACTTCCCTCCAGACCACCCAGGGGGAGACCTGGTGCTAATGATAGTTGGGTCTTAGGCAGGACACAGGGCAGTGCAGATGTCCCCTCCCCTCCAGTGCAGGTGCCTGCTCTGGGCCCTGCCTCACGGTGGCCCCTTCCCCTCTCCTTTATCCTCAGCCTCACCCTCTGGAGGACCCCACCCTCCAGCCCACAAGTGCTGGACCATCCCTCGCTGGTTCCTCCGCCCCTCTCCACCTGGGGACCTTGTGTTGCTCCTACCTCTTGCCCACCTGCCTTGGGCCCTCAGCAAGTTCTCATCTTTCCCAAACTCCACCCCCCACAGAGCACCCTCCCCTCCTGTCCTCACCCTAACCCAAGTTCCTCCACAGTCACTCCTGCCCCGCGCTCACGCTGCCCTCCAGTTCTTGCTCTGCCCATCTCCCCACCCCCCACCCAGTCCAAACCTAAAACAGGCTGTTGGTCCCACTGTTCCTTGACCTTCATTCTTTTCTTTCGGTTCCTTGACCCCAGTGGGCTCTCACTCCCTACACCACATACCTAAAATCTTTGTTTTGCTCTTGGGGTGACTGTTCCCCCTCCAGCACTACTTTTGGCAGACCCTTCCTCAGGCTGGGGTCTCCTCGTTTACCTTGGTTTTCTGTCTCTGGCCAGCACCCCCTACCATTGCTTTTTTTTTAATTTTTAACTTTTCTTTGGGTATGTAGTACACACATATGTATATATTTATGGCGTACGTGAAATAGTTTAACACAGGCATACAATATGTAATAATCACATTAGGGTAAATGGGGTATCTATCACAACAAGCTTCTTTGTGCTACAAACAATCCCATTATGCTCTTTCAGTTATTTTTACATGTACAGTAAATTATTGCTGACTTACCCTGCTGTGCTATCTACAAGATCTTATTCATTCTAACTATATTTTTGTAACCATTAACCATCCCACTCTGCACTCCCCACTGCCCTTCTCAGCGTCTGGTAGTCATCATTCCATTCTCTCTCCCCATGAGTTCAGTTGTTTTCACTTTTGGCTGCTGCAAATAAGAAAGAACAAGCAAAGTTTGTCTGTCTGTTCCTGGCTTATTTGACTTAACATAATGACCTCCAGTTCTTTGCGAATGGCAGGACGGCTGAATAGTACTCCACATACACATGTGATCCACAGTTTCTTTATCCATTCGTGTGTTGATGGACACTTAGGTTGCTTGCAGAGCTTAGCTATTTTGAATAGTGCCTCAATAAACATGGAAAAGTAGATGGCTCTTTAATATACCAATTTCCTTTCTTTGAGGTATATGCCTAACAGGGGGAGTGCTGCAGCATATGACAGTTCTGTAGGTTTTTAGTTTTGGGGAATCTCCACATTGTTTCCCATAGTGGTGTACTAGTTTACATTCCCACCGACAGTGTACAAGGGTTCTCTTTTGCTACATCCTTGCTGCATTCCTCATTGCCTGTCTTCTGGGTAACAGCCATTTTATCTGGGGCGGGATGACATCTCATGGCAGTTTTGATGCATTTATTTGATGACCAGTGATGCTGAGCACCTGTTCATATACCTGTTTGCCATTTGTAAGTCTTTCTTTTGAGAAATTACTATTCTGATCTTTTGCTCATTTTTAAATTGGATTCTTAGATTATTTTTTCCTATAGAGTTGTTTGAGCTCCTTATATATTTCAGTTACTAATCCTTTGTAAGATGAATAGTTTGAAAATATTTTCTCCCATTCTTGGATGGTTTTTTCACTTTGTTTATTGTTTTCTTCACTGTGCAGGAGGGTTTTTTTCTTTCTTTTTTTCTTTTTTCTTTTTTTGGGAGACAGTCTTTCTCTGTGGCCCAGGCTGGAGTGCAGTGGTGCAATGTCAGCTCACTGCAACCTCCACCTCCTAAGTTCAAGCAATTCTCCTGCCTCAGGCTCCTAAGTAGCTGGGACTACAGTGGCACACCACCATGCCTGGCTAATTTTTGTATTTTTAGTAAGTATGAAACCGTGTTGCCCACCTGGGCTTGAATTCCTGAACTCAGCAATCCACCCACCTCAGCCTCCCAAAGTGCTAGGATTACAGGCATGAGCCACCGCACCCAGCCTGTTTCCTTTGCTGTGCAGCAATATATGATTGTGGTTTTGATTTGCATTTTACTAATGACTACTGATATTGAGCATCTTTTCATGTGTTTATTGATCATTTGCATATTTTCTTGGAAGAACTGGCCATTCAAGGCTTTTGCCCATTTTTCCCCGACATAGCTTCTCATGGCTACTTTGCCCATTTTTGAGTGGGTTGACTGTTTTGTTGTTTTTGTCAGACTTCTTTACGTATTCTGGAAACTAATCTCTTATCAGATATGTGATTTGCATATTTGTTTCATTTCAGGCATTGATTGCTTTTTCGCTCTAATTGTGCCCTTTGATGCACAGATGTTTTAATTTTCATGAGTCCAGTTTGTCAGTTCTTTCTATTCTGTCTGTGCTTTGGTGTCACATCCACGAAAGCTCTGTCAAATCCTGTGTCATGAAGATTATCCCCAATGTTTTCTTCTAAGAAATTTTTAAGTTTTAGTTCTTGAGTTTAGAGTTTAGGTCTTTTGTTCGTTTTGAGTTAATTTTTGTATAGAGTACAAATTAAAGGTGCCATTTTATTTTATTTCAACATCCAGTTCCCCCAGCACTATTTACTGAAATATGGACTGACTCTTTGAGAACCTGACACCTGGCCACCCTGGTGGACACTAGCAGGTGCATGCACTTGCTGTCCTGCGGCCTTGTCATGCTGTCATGCCACTCTTCCACTGGGACCCAAGCCCACGCCATTGCTTCCCTCTGGGATTCTGACCCCACTATAAACTTCTCTGGGGCTACAACCTTCCTGTCCCTTGCGCCTCATAACCGCCCCCTCCCTTGCCCTCACCATGCCCATGATGAGTCTTTTCTCGAAGCAGCTCCCCTTGCCTCCATCTCACTGTCACCTGTGCACCACAGCCACACTGGACATGGGTCCCTCTTAGCCTGAGTTTCTTCCCATTCCCCGCCTCCCCTCTGGCAAGACCTTCCTTCCACCACTGCCTTCATGTTTCTCCATTATCCCTGTAGAAGAGCCTCTCCCCGTGGCCCCTATACCCTTAGGGGGCCTTTGGCCACCCAGCCCTGGCACCTGGCCTACAAGTTTGCCATCTCCATTCCCCCTTCTTCCATTCCTCAGTCCCCTCCTCTGTCCTCCCAGCTTCCCAGTTTTCCTTGTATATGAAATGCTCATTCTTGTCCCATTGCCCGTGTACATTTCCTGTCTCCTCAGGAAGGTCAGGACAGCAGACCTGTGTGTTAAGCATCACGTGAAGTTACTTCCAGGAAGAAGTTTCATCTGTGATTTTCTCTTCCCCAGAGCCTCACAGTCTTCGTTATAACCTCACAGTGCTGTCCCGGGATGGATCTGTGCAATCAGGGTTTCTTGCTGTGGGATATCTGGATGGTCAACTCTTCCTGCTCTGTGACAGGCAGAAATGCCCAGCAGGGCCCCAGGGACAGTGGGAAGAAGCAGTCCGGAGAGCTGAGCCCTGGCACACAGAGATCGAGGACTTGATAGAGAATGAGAAGAACCTCAAGATGACCCTGGCTCATATTAAGGGGAAGAAAGGAGGTGAGAGTGGGCAGGGGCAAGAGTGACAGGAGAGGCCTTTTCCGGAAAAGTTAGGGCAGAGAGCAGCGACCTGTCTCTTCCCACTGGATCTGGCTGGGGCTGGGGGTGAGGAATGGGGGTCAGTGGAGCTCACCAAGGAGGTGAACCAGCACTCAGCCAGCACAGGGAGGCTGGGCGGAGGAGGGCAAGGGAAGGGTCCCCGCTGGGCTGAGTTCCTCACTTGGGTGGGAAGGTGAGGGGTTCAGGAATGGAGAAGTCACTGCTGGGTGGGGGCAGCCTTGTATTCCCTCCAGGAGATTAGACTCTGTGAGATCAATGAAGATGGTAGCACCAAGGGCGTCCGGCGTTTCTACTATGATGGGGAGCTCTTCCTCTCCCAAAACCTGGACACTCAGGAATGGACAGTGCATGAGTCCTCCAGAGCTCAGATCTTGTCTATAAACATCATGAATGTCTTGAAGGAAAATGTAAAGAAAGCTGGCACTGTGCGGGCAGACTGCCGGCAGAAACTGCAGGGATATCTGGAATCCCTGGTGTGCGTCGGGAGAACAGGTACCAACCCTGGGCAGGGGCTCTCCTCTCCCCACAGTTCTGCTAGAGTTGCCTCACCCCCCAGCTCTGACCAGGGAAACCTGCCCAGTGCTTTGGATGCAGGCGTTTCCTGTTGACATATTGTGTCCTGATTTTCCTCTCCTGTCAGAGCCAGTGGATAAAGACAGTGGGTCTGGGACTGAACCATCCAGTGTTGGAATCTGGGAAAGCAGGGGGTCCTCCGACAGAATCCTGAGCATGGGATGGGTGGCAGGCAGGAGAAGAAGCCTTCAGGGCCAGGGCTGCCCCATCTGCCTCCCAGCCTGCCCATCCCAAAGAGTTTCCTCCCTCCTGGCCCCAGACCCAGGAGTCCACCCCTAACATCCCCCTCCTCAGCATCACTGTGGGGATCCCAGAGCTTCAGGCCACAGTCCCGAGGCCCATCCTCCTGCCAGCGTAGAGGAATTGGGTCCCAGGGTGAGGACAGACTTACAGAAGGTCCGGGGTCTGTGAGTGCTTCAGCCAGAGTGGGAACAGTGGAGAGGAGCAGCTCTGTTCCCTGCATCTCCCTTAGAGGGGAGCAGGGCGTCACTGACTCTGCATTTTCTTCTCCAGTGCCCCCCATGGTGAATGTCACCCGCAGTGAGGATTCAGAGGGCAACATCAACGTGACATGCTGGGCTTCCGGCTTCTATCCCCCAAATATCACACTGACCTGGCGTCAGCATGGGGTATCTTTGAGCCACAACGACCAGCAGTCGGAGGGTGTCCTGCCTGATGGGAATGGAACCTACCAGATCTGGGTGACCATCAGTATTCGCCAAGGAGAGGAGCAGAGGTTCACCTGCTACATGGAACACAGCGGGAATCACAGCACTCACCCTGTCCCCCCTGGTGAGCCTAAGGTGACCCTGGAGAGGGTCAGCTGTGGGTCTCTGCCTGATGTATAACAAGTGCCTTTTTTCAGGGAAGGTGCTGGTGCTTGAGAGTCAACGGACAGCCAGTCCACATGTTCCTGCTGCTGCTGCTCCTGCTCCTGCTCCTGCTATTATTGCTGGTATTATTGCTGTTGCCATTATTGTTTTTAGTATTGTTCACTGCATCCATCATTGCAAGAAGAAGAGAACATCACCTGCAGAGGGTCCAGGTGAGAAAAGAGGGCAGTGGCTGTAGATGGGAGGGCTCCTGTCTGGGCACTAGGGTCCCCTCATTGCTCCTGCACAGATAGGCATGTAGGTGACCAGGCTTCTGGAACAGGTGTTGGAAGTTGGGGTATTTGGGAGAACGGGAGCCATATCTCCATCTACACCCCTAAATCCCTCTCAAGTTAGGGCCAGGGAAGGCCCTCGAATGTTTAGCTGTGGCCTCTTCCTGCTGCAGGTGAGGGTTGGGCAGCAGGATGGCACCTGCTCTGTCCTCATCCCGGTCCCTCTGTCTCTTGGGCTCACTAGGGCGCGTCCAGGTGGGGTGAGCTGGGAATCACATGCAGAGTGCTGAGGGCCTGGATGATCACAGCCTCAGAGGGAGCAAATAGTAAAGGCAGCTGTCACCTGGGGAGGGCTAGAAACTGGAGAGGAATCCGAGGGGAGGCGGTGCCCCTAGTCCCTTCCTCTCTGCATCCCTCTCCCCTGTTCCTCCAGCCATTTGGTGGGGGAGACACCAGGTAAAAGATATATGAGGCCCGGACTGGGGGCCCTGCCTGTGCAGACCCTTGGAGGCCCTCTTGTAACAAGGAGGGTCCTGGTCGCACACGGCCATCTCTGTCCACTTTGCAGCTCCCCATGCATCTCCTTCAGGAGCTGCCTCCGGAGTGTCATGTCCTCTGTGTCACTCGAGGCCATGCTCTTTCCAGGTTCCCACTACCTGGCCTCCCTGAGTTTCCATTCAGATGATATAGATGAGTAGATAAGCAGATGTCCCCGGGCCATTGGAAGAGCAGGGCCCAGGCCCTCATCAGGGCAGCTGCGGTCCCTGTTCTCAAACTACCTCCAAGTGTTTTCTTCTGGTGTTTCTGGGGCTTTGTTCTGTGCTCTGTGGCCTGACCTTGCCCGCCCGGAGGCCATTTCCCTTTCTCAAGGTGGTCACTGCCTGGTAAGTTTGGAGTAAGGGACAGTCAGAATCATTTCCCCCACAGTCAGGTTGTTTGACGGGAGACGAAAAGAGAAAGCAGGAAGTTTTGTGTTTCTGTAAAGACAGAGGCAGTGCAGGGGACAGTGAGGGGCTGGGGCATCCAGGAAACCTGGGTCTTTCTGTCGTTTCCCCACTTCTGTGTACCTGGCCGTAGGGGTCGTGGTTTCTCATCGTTCAACTTAATTGCGCTCTCTGTTTGCCCCCCAGGCCTGGGCAGATGGGAAGGTTTATCCCCTGCCCTGCAGCAAGAGGGCCCCGTCCAGGAGACACCCGCAGCAGGGGCAGAGCAGGTGTGTGGTGGCTCCTGCTCTCACCTGCGGTGTCTCCTGTAGAGGGATTGTCAGTTCTGGTTTTCTGTGAGCATGATTGGTTTCCTCACAGGTCATTGGGGCTTTGGCCAGGAAAAGGGTATGAAAGCCATGTGCCAATGTCTCAAAATTCCTGCTTTCAATGTTGATGTCCCATAAAGATGTTCATAATTTCAGCTCTACAATCTTGACAGTATTTCCTCTAATACTGATGTTGTAAAGCATATTAAATGAAACAGGAACTCAAATTTGGAGCTCCCTCTCCAGGAGGGTCTGTGTGGAAGATGGTGGCTGTGGCAGTGGCAGTTCCCAGATGCAGAGGGTGGACAGAGGCAGCCTCAGGCTAAGGGGTTCCCTATTCCACATGGAGAAAATCCCTTGTGGGTTGCCAGGGCAGTGTCCTGGGTGGAATCCCTGCTAGGGACAGAGCAGGAAGGACTCGCGGCCTCACCAAGCAGCAGCCTTGGGGTGGAGCTGCGTTTCCAGGGGTAAGTGGACCACGCAGGAGCAGCGGTGACTCAAGAGCAGGTCATAGGCCTGGGTGGGTGCTGAGGGTCAGGGGAGGCCAGACCTCCTGAAGCAAGCTGGGGGTCCCAGGGTCAGGTGCAGATCCTGTAGCAGCCACGTCGTTCCATGCTGGGCCTGCTGGGCATCCCCAGGCTTCTTGATGGGGTCCCCAGTTAAGAGATGCCAGCTCTGGGCTGGGAGGGGAGGAGTGCTGAGCCACAGGTAGAGGGCAGAGCCCATGGTGGGCAGGGCCTGCCCTGGTGTGCAGGTGCCTCTGCAGGTGAGGAGGGCCTGGGGACTGAGGGCAAGGGCCAGGGCCTCTATTTGGGGAGGCCTCTCACTCTAACAGGACTGGTCAGGCCTGAGAGGAGCGGAGGGCACTGGGTTCCCTCTTGCATCTTGTCCTTTAGTCTTGGGGCTGGAAAAAACAGGTAGGAGGAAGAAAAAAGGAGGGCCTCCTCTTCCCTCATAGAAAGAGAGAATCTGATTTTGGAGCAACTGAAGAGAGAAAAGTCCTCAGGAGATAAACACAACACTCTGCACCCAGTGGAGCATTCACTGGTTTCTCTCTTTTCTCCAGAGCTCATGAGCCTGCAGGTCCTGGATCAACACGTGGTTGGGACAGGAGACCACAGGGATGCCGCACAGCTGGGATTTCAGCCTCTGATATCAGCTCCTGGGCCCACTGGCTCCACTCAGGGCACCGAGACTCTGCAGCCAGGCGGCTAGGACTCAGCTCCCTGTCTGGATCTCACCAGCACTTTCCATCTTGGTGCCTCAGTTCCCTGGCCTATGTAGCAGAGAACATAACACTATTTATTTCTTGTTGTCGGAGGCTGTGAAGTGTTAGTAGGCATGAGGTGTTTGCAGCTGTGCCATATTAGTTGGTATCATCATTTCCATTGTTTATCTATTATTATAATTTTATTTTTTTTTTGAGACGAAGTCTCACTCTTTCACCCAGGTTGGAGTTCAGTGGCATGATCTCGGCTCACTGCAACCTCTGCCTCCCCAGCTCAAGGAATTCTTGTGCCTCAGCCTCCCGAGTAGCTGGGATTACAGACGCACACCACCACATCCGACTAATTCTAGTATTTTTCATAGAGACCGGGTTTCGACATGTTAGCCAGGCTGGTCTCAAACTCCCCACCTCAGGTGATCTGCCTACCTGAGCCTCCCAAAGTGCTGGGATTACAAGCATGAGCCACCAGGCCCAGCCTATTTTATTATATTTTAATACATTACATGTACAGTAATTAGAATGTCATAGGTGAGCTTTATGAGTGAGTGTCTTGGTGATGACTCCTCCTGACGAGCCTAGGACCAGCTTTCTTATCACCTTGAGGTCCCCTCACCCCCCTGTCACAGCCTTATGCATTACTTCATGTCTACTACCTTTGTAAAATTTTATACTATAGATGTTTACTGTTTAAATAGACATTTCTGGTCTGTGTTTTATTTCATGCGTCTGGGAGTGGATAAAGCATGAGGTTCAGGGGAGAAGGAGAAGTCTGTCTCAACGCCTTGACACGGCATGAAAACAATCTCCCCTCCTCATTCCCTTCCCCTGCTAGTTTCCGATGACCCACAGATTCACAGCAGAACAGAAAGCGCTGTGAAATGATGGAGGTGGGACATCTGGTGCCAACATTCAGGGGCTGACCCTGTGGGGGAACATCTGCCCTGAAGAGCTGGAGCCTTCATGTGATGACACAGAGCTGAAGTGTGACATCAGGGAGGGGATAGAGAGTGCTTCCAGGTTTTCTGACTTTGAAGAATTTGAGTCAGTCGGGTTCTGGCGTAAAGTGACTGCTGGGGAGGTGTGGACTAAATTAATGAAGAACAAATGAACCAGGAAAGTGGATGAGTAAGAGATGGGATATTCCCCACCCTGTCCCAGATCAAATACAGCCCTGAGATCTGCCCATCTTTCCCATCTGGGATTTCTGCATTGAACACCTCCCTTAGTCAACTTTCCTGCAAAGCAGAAAACCATGAAGTTGGACCACGTTGGAGGAAGAATGGTGTCATCTTCACCTCTGGAGAGATCTCTGTCACTGTGTTCAGGGAAAGGACCAGCCTCACTCCCCATGCAGAGAGGAGGCTCTGGCTGTGATCCGGCCTGTGGAGGGATGAGGACCCGCTCCCTCTACAATGATGGCCAAGAACCTGCAGGTGACAGGGCAGCTTCCGCTCAAGTGTGTCCTATCAGGTTCTTCCAGGCATCACAGAATAGACCAGGGACATTGCCTCCAGTGACATGACCACACCCAGAAGTGAGGTGGCCCTGCCAGGGGGTCCTGGGGCTGCCACGTCTTTTGGGATCTCAGTGTCTGGAGAGGGGTATGGAGAGCAGGCTTTGTGCAAAACATAACCGTGACCTCTAAATTATTTTATGCTCCATTAGCTTTTTTGTCATAAAATACAACAGGTACCAAAAAGAAAACCTGTCTGAAAATGTTGCCCTTTAATAAAAGGTAAACATGCTTTAACCACCAGAGAGTTTGTCAGCCAGCCCAGGAAACCCCCATCATCTGCCCCAGCTCAGTGATAAACTCTTTCCTCCCACACATAAAATCACAGCCTGACTTTTATGATCATCACTTCTCTGCTCTTTTTTACATTTTCATCATCTAAAATTGTAGTTTAGTTTTACCTTGGCGTATTTTTTAGTGTTCTTTTTTTTCTATATGTTCCTCCTTGAAATTTATATTGTCTGGTTGAGTTTTTCATAGTTTGCATTTTGCCGGCTGCACCCCAAGGAGTAGTTTAATATGCACCTTTTTAATCTGTGCTTTCTATAAATTGCTAGTTGGTTGCAGAGATTTGCTTATACGCAGGCTTTATTTTTTTTCTTGAGTACTTAAGTTCGTTTATGGTATTGCATTGTATTCTTACATTAGAAGGAAGAACTTACCTATTTTTATTTTATTTGTTTTATTTATTTATTTATTTATTTTTACCGTACACTTAAATTTGGCCATTGCTGTTCAATGGCCAAATCTGTTAATTCATTAAGGGTTACAAAAGAGTTATAGTCTCAGTCTCTCCTTCCTTCCTTATTTACTAGCTGAATAACTTCTAAAAGAAGAGATTTACCCTCTTCTACTATTTTTTCACTCAGTAGAAGCTTGTTTTTTGAGAGATGAAGCCAAGCATCCACTCAGCTATGACCCAGCAATATCACTCTTAGTTAAAACCAGTCGAAATGCATGTGTCTAGGCCGGGCACGGTGGCTCAAGCCTGTAATCCCAGCACTTTGGGAGGCCGAGATGGGTGGATCACGAGGTCAAGAGGTCGAGACCACCCTGGTCAACATGGTGAAACCCCGTCTCTACTAAAAATACAAAAAATTAGCTGGGCATGGTGGTGCGTGCCTGTAATCCCAGCTGCTCGGGAGGCTGAGGCAGGAGAATTGCCTGAACCCAGGAGGCAGAGGTTGTGGTGAGCCGAGATCGCGCCATTGCACTCCAGCCTGGGCAACAAGAGCGAAACTCCGTCTCAAAAAAAAAAAAAAAAAAAGAAATGCATGTGTCTTTGCCAAAATACAAGAAAAATTATTCATAGCAGCACAGGTTGTAAAGCCTAGATACAACACAAAGGCCCATTGACAGTGGAGGGACAAGAGTATGAGCCATGTATAAAGTAGAGCACTTGACGGCCATGGGAGTGAACAGGCTATGACCACACACAGCAAGATGATGAGCCCAACAAAGATGATGAGGCCGATGACGTGAAAACGACATATGATTCCATTCAGTCAGAACTACAGAACTAATCTGCAGTGTTACAAATCAAGAGAGTGGCTACTGTAGAGTGGGGGGAGGGTGGTTTATGAGTGAGTAGTACTCGGGTGTTTCTTGGAGGCCAAGAATCCTGTTGCTTGATGAAGATGTTGTTTACCTGAGTTTTCACTTGGTCAAAACCCACTGCCCACCTATGATTCGTCCCCCTTCCTCCGTGCATGTTGTCCATTCAAGTACACATTTCTGGTGTTTTGAAACAATTATCTCCAAACTAACATAGAATTTCTCCTACTACAAGGCCTTAAAAATGCTGCATTGAAAATACCAGTTAAATTTTTTTTAATTCCAGGAAATAAATGCCCATGTCTCAAATATAAAGAGGAGAATCTACAACAAGAGCAGCGAGCTTGGGAACTTACACCAGAACAGCTTCGGAAATAGCTGTCGAGCGAGGAACTAGGAATCAAACCCAAACAGAATCACAGGAGGTGAAGGATGTGAAATGATGCCCCAGTAGTGCCTGAATGAATGAATCATGGGCAGTGGCTCATGGGTTGCGTGGCCAGTCTGGAACTTGGGGAAAATAAAGTTGAAGAATTGGGGAGTGGCATAGTGAAGTGTGCACTGACCTCTTTCCATGGGAAGGGCGTGTGAAGATAGAGGTTGCATGTGAATACCCACCAGAGGGTCTCCAAGGGTCTGGGTCTCCCTAGAACCAGGTGGGCGAGATGGCTTGATGGATGATGCCACTCAGCTGCACAGGGCTTGCTGGTAGAGTCCCTGCACAAAGTGACCATGGTGGCTGGGGTGGACACTGCATGGGCACAGCAATTGACTCTCCACTCACCAAGGCGAACCTGGCAGCTGCCACTGCTGAGGACCCAACCTGCCAAAAGCAGCTGTTTCTTTCAACAGAGAAAAAAAACAGGCAATGTTAATCAGAAGCGAGACAGTGTTATGATAGATAAATATGTTATGACAAAACATACTAATAAATGCACATGATAAATATATGTTATGACGGAATAGTGTTATGACAGATAAATATGCCACTGCAGCTATAGTGGAGATGTAAACAATCTTGAAATTATTTTTTTAAAAATTATGCCAAAGGAAAATACTTACTATAAAGAAGTTAAAACAGTTGTAAAAATTCTATTTCTGTTCAGCCATATTGAGGTTGTTTCACAGGGAAGTTCTACTAAACCTTCAAGGAAGGTTATTGGACTTATTTAAAATATTCAAGAAAAAGGGAGAATATATGGAAAGCTAGACAACTCACTTTATTAGATATAAATAGTGTTCATTCTAAAGTCAGTTAGGGAACAAATAACAAAGAAACATGATAGAAAAATCACTATTAATAATTAGAAGTAAAATAGATGAGAAAAATAACAGACTGTGTTCATGATGTATCCCAAGAAAGCAAGAATATTTAAACTTTAAATCTTTTAATGCATTTTACCACTTAATTCAATAATTTAAAAAGAAACAATCACATTTCACTAGATCAGAAATGACTGCAGATGAAATTCCACACTACATCTGACCTACATTTCTTCAGTTATCTCCACCTTTAAGAATTCGTGATCAGTGCAGCACCGTTCGATCAGCAAAGACAAGGAATCAACCTAGATGTCCATCAACAGTGGACTGGATCAAGAAAATGTGGTACGTGTACACCGTGGTACGCTACCCAGCCACAACAACAAGAACAAAATCATGTCCTTCACAGCAACGTGGGTGGAGCTGGAGACCATTATTCTAAGCAAATGAATGCAGGAACTGAAAGCCAAATCCCACATATTCTCACCTATAAGTGGGAGCTAGAAATTGCGTACATATGGATACAAAGAAGGGAACAGCTGACACTGGGGCCTACTTTGGAGGGGAGGGTGGGAGGAGGGGAGGATTAAAAAGCTACCTATCGGGTATTGTGCGGATTACCTGAGTAACAAAATTATCTGCACCCATAATATGCAATTTACCCATGTAACAAACCTGAATGTATATCCCTTGAACCTAAAATAAAAGTCAAAAAGACAAAAGAAAAAAAGAATTCCTGATCAGATGGAGCCCACCTAAATAATCCAGGATAATATCCCTCTCAGTGTCCACACACTTAACCACATCTGCAGTTCCTTTTGTTATGTAAGATTATGCAACCAAAGGTTCTGGAGCTTAGGGTTTGAATATATTTGTGGGGCCATTATTCTGCCTACTACAATTATACGGTGGCTGAATGAGGTCTAACATTAGTCTAATTAAACTCCAAGAAGATGAAAGGAGAGTGACTAAAAGGAGGTATTCCATAACGAGGTGATGGCAAACGATTAAGTAAAGATCTACGCAGCCCCGTGAATGAAAGGAGATCCACATCGGCTCAGACTGCACCGGAACTTCAGACGGTAAAGACAAACAGTGATCTTGAAAGCAGCCATGGAAGAAACACAGGTCGTTTAAAATGCATCTGGAATGGAACGTAGCTGACATCTCTCCCTGTCAGCCACAGTAGCCAGAAGAGACATCAGCATTCACCAGCTGAGGGAAAAACCAACGTCAGACTGGGAATTTGTGGCTGGCAAACCCACCTTTCAACAGTAAAACCAAAGGCCAGGCATGGTGGCTCACGTCTGTAATCCCAGAACTTTGGGAGGCCAAGGCGGGCAGATCAGTTGAGGTCAGGGGTTTGGGACCAGAGCGGCCAAGATGGCGAAACTCTGTCTCTACTTAAAATACAAAAGTTAGCCAGGCATGGTGGTGGGCTCATGTAATCCCAGCTCCCTGGGAGGCTGAGGCAGGAGAATCACTTGAACCTGGAAGGCAGAGGTTGCAGTGAGCAGAGATGGCTCCACTGCATTCCAGCCTGCACTACAGAGTGAGACTCCATCTCAAAAACAAAAACAAAGCAAAAAAAATAATCAAACAAAGACTTTTTATATAAATAAAACTGTTGGTTTTTCAGCAAAATACTTCCTCTACAAATATTTAGAATGTCACTAAGATATATTAAAAAAGAAATAGGCTGGCGCGGTGGCTTACACCTGTAATCCCAGCAATTTGGGAGGCCGAGGCGGGTGAATCACAAGGTCAAGAGATCGAGACTATCCTGGCCAACGTGGTGAAACCCCATCTCTAAAAAAAAAAAAAAAGAGAAATAAAGCCTGGCATGGTAGCTCACACCTATAATCCCAGCACTTCTGGAGGCCGAGGCGGTCAGATCACCTGAGGTCGGGAGTTGGAGACCAACCTTACCAACATAGAGAAACCCCTTGTCTACTAAAAATACAACAAATTAGCTGGGCATGGTGGCATATGCCTGTCATCCCAGCTACTCGGGAGACTGAGGTAGGAGAATCCTTTGAACCCAGGAGGCAGAGGTTGCAGTGAGCTGAGATCATGCCATTGCACTCCAGCTTGGGCAACGAGAGCGAAACTTCCTCCCGAAAAAAATTAAAAAGGGAAGAAACGAAGACCAAAAAATGAAAGGAAGGAAGAAAAACAGAAAAATTAATTGGTAATCATAGATATATGGAAATTAATACCATTATTATAAAATATTAATAATATAGACTTCAAAGGAAATAAATAATGTCAAACACTTAATTTGTTAGGTTGCACTTTGCTTATCCATCTTCCCACCTCCACCTAGGCTGTGCCATCCATGAGGTCCAAGGAAGTTTCATTCTTTTTTCTGAGACTGCTACATAGAGAACGGGACCCAGAATAAGACAGGTGCTTGATGAATCTTTACCAAATGAATACATTTCCTGGAAATAATTAGCAGACCAGGAATTCTGATGCATATGCACAACTCAAAAGCAGCTGAGGGAACTGACATCAGAGAACGTGGTGGCATAGGGAGCTCCAAGGGCCACTACTCTACAGGACAGTGTGCTCGTCAAACATCAGCACACACACAGAAATCTCAGAGAGCTTTTAAAGCACAGATTCCTGGACTGCATGTAGAGCTGTGGAGGCCCCACAGGGTTGTGGGGTGTCCCTTATGCTGTGGTGAGGTGCAGGATCCAAGAAGTAAAGAGACACGACACTGAAGAACTGGTGAAGAGCATCTGGACTTGGGGGGCCACACCACCTGTGAGTGGAGATCAGTGGCAGCAGCCTCCAAATGCCCAAGAACATCTGTATTTATTAGATACAAGCA